ATGCCTGAATGTATGGACTGGCTATTATATATGTTCTAGGAAGGGAGGGAAGGAGGGAGGAGAAGGGAATGAGAAAGGGAAGGAAGGAAGGAAGGAAGGAAGGAAGGAAGGAAGGAAGGAAGGAAGGAAGGAAGGAAGGAAGGAGGGAAGGAAGGAAGGAAGGAAGGAAGGAGGAAAGGAGGGAAGGAAGGAGGAAAGGAGGGAAGGAAGGAGGAAAGGAGGAAAGAATTCACCTGGAAAAATTAAACTCTAGTGGTTCAGAATATCTCCCACACAAAGGAGCCATCCTCTGTAAAGAGAGTGATTTGCTGTAGCACCATCAGTTTGCACAGAAGAATGGAGCTCCACTGATGACAGGATGTGGGACCAGCTAGTAGCACTATGGTGAGAGCCACCCCTGCCCAGTTCAGGGCTGCATCCAGCATAAAAGAGCAGCCCTTGTTTCCTTCTTTATAGGAGATGGGAGTAAGGAACTCCTCTGTGTTTCCTAGGTGAAGCCTGGGACAGAGGTACCCATGTGACTCTGAGAAGCAGCATGGGGAATAAGCAAAGAGGCAGGCTGTGGTCAAGTGGGAGTTAAGTGGAATTACCATTTTTGAGCACTGTTGAGCAGTAGACTTCCTTATTTGGGGGGAAGGGAAGCTCACATTCTGTCAACATCTTAAAGCTGGCAAAGACAGAAAAAAGCCCTATTTTCTCTTGCACAATCCATTGACTGGTTTTATTTTTCAGCTTCCTTGCTCCCATAACCCACTTTCCAGTTGTGCAAGGCCAGCCTCCATCTGCCTCGCCCCTCTCTCTACCCAGTGTTTCTCAACCTTGGCAACTTGAAGATGTGTGGACTTCAACTCCCAGAATTTTCCCCCATTGAATCCACTGGGGGATTCTGGGAGCTGAAGTCCATACATCTTCAAGTTGCCAAGATCGAGAAACCCTGCTCTACACATATTCCTCTTCCAGTGTCTTTCAGTTTCTCTCTTATCCACCCCAACTTGTGGTTTCCCTCTTATCTCCATTTCTGTCTGCTCATCTTCCTTTTATTAGAACGACCATATGAATGGTTGTCATGGCATCTCCATCAGCCAGATATTCCCCAGGAAACCCAAAAGGAAACCTCTTTCCATTTTTTCTCCTCCTTAGAAAATACCAAGCAGCAAAATAGCAAACTGGTAAATCACCACAATCAGAAATAGAGACAGGATAGATACATTCCAGAAGGTGCTAATAACCCAAGACATGTGGTTTAAGTTAAATTTCATTAGCTTCTGCTGAAGGAAATTACTTTGGGTATTTAGATGGTCTTTCAAAGGTGTACACAATCTTTATAGTTTAGCTGTGGATAAGTTGCTTTGTTAGGTCAGAGTAGATGGGATCTTGAACTCCTACTTCAACCATGAATGAATTTATCTGAATTCATGAAGCAAGTAGCTTATGTTGAGCATACATTTAGTTATCAATAAATATGACAGTCAGAGTAATGAAATCAATCCAGTTCTCACTCAAGGCCCAAATAATCAAGCTCAAATGATCATACTTTGGAGTAAGACCTAAATTTCTAGAGAAGTCTTTAATTCTGGGAAAGCTAAAAGGAAAGTGGCTATGGGGAGACCTGAAGAGCCAGGTTGGGGACACAGCATCCTGGAGAAGGTCTAACTAGGTGGTCGCCGAGAGTTGACACTGACATGATGGCACAAAATCAATCAGGGTAAATATCATTGAATTAGGATTACTTGAGAGATTTGTGAAATGATTGGTAGAAGAGCATAGTAAAGTATAAGACCAGTGTTTCTCAGCCTTGGCAGCTTTAAGATGTGTGGACTTCCAGAAGTCACATTTATTTGAAAAAGGAAGATACTGGCTGGATTAGGGTCTAAACATCTTCATTTTGAGGAGCCTATGGAAACAGTTTTCTGAGTTATTTTTTTCCTCCAGCTACCTAGAAACGCTTTTCAGTACCACAGAAATTTCAAAATGATGCCTAGGGTGTAGGGTTGAGAGAAAAAAATATATCTTTTTTCATCTTCTTCCTTTCCTACAAGATACTTATATGGATGGCAATTTAAAAGAAATAGTTGGGGAATTTCTCTGTTCTTTGGAACATGTTGGTGAATGATGTCTCTGCACAGCTCTGTGTCCTCCAATCACATATGTGAGATGAGTGGCTATGTAAATTTAATAAATAAATAAGTAAAAACAGATAGTACATACAGGTCTTCTGAAGAAGCCCCACACATGTCCAATCATGAAGAGACAGAAATGTCCACCATTTTGTCATGCAAGAGTTACACATTTCCATGAAATGCTTTCTCTAAAGAACCAAACAACTACCCAATTCTCCTCAGATGTCCCAAATCCATGTAAATACACAGAAGCTCCAGTTAATGCATTCCTCTTCTTTTCAAAGTGACCCAAAAGGAGATCCATTACTTCATAAAATGGTTTAGAATACTCCTCAAACATTGAGGGTGTATACTCACAACACACCTATCCATACTTAATGTAGCTCAGGATTGGACAATGTTTTCAGAAGTCAGGTACCCTCACGTGATTTTCTGTGATGGAGCAAATTCCACCACTTCAATTTTTGGGGGATAAAATGTTGAAAGGGATGAAAATGTGCAAAATCTCATGAGGTTTCAGAAGAGGTAGAGATGGGGCACTTCATTTCTGTTCTGATAACAGATCAGGAAAGCAAAGGACTCTGTGGGCAATAGAGTTGACCGCGGAGGTCTCACCAAGCCTCTGTGAACTGGATTTAACTGTTTGCATTTCATGCTTAGTTCCCCCCTCTGGACTCTCTGCTGCAGATGTTACAAAGCATATAGGATGTGGTAGGCAAGGTCAAAGTTTAATTTGCAAGGATAAACTCTTTTATAATGATTCCATGAACAGACAATCCTCAGACCAGCAAAGAGTGCTGTCATAATATCTCACTGCTCCTAGTGTATTTTAACAGGCAGCTTCTAGCAGTTCAGTCATTGTCCTCCATTCCTGTATGCTATAACATATGTATGTATGTATGTGTGTATATACATATACATATACATATACATATACATATACATATACATATACATATACATATACATATACATAT